GACATCCCGACACGTCCCTGGAGGAGTGGAGCCCCCCTGCCGTGCTCCCCCAGCTCCCAGCTCCTCATCCTGCTCTCCTCGGGTGATGGCCGGTGGCACGGAGCGGCCGGAGGGGCCGTGTCCCTCTCCGGGGGGGACACGGGGGCTCTGCCTTGCTGGGATGGCCGGAGGAGCCTCTTCCCTGCGCTCGGAGCTCCTTGGATGTGCAGCCACCCACGCCAGAGCCTTCCTCCTCAATAAAGAGCTCACCCACACTCTGCCTCCTGCCTCAAATCCCGCCACATTTATCCCCCAGGGTGGTCCCAGTTCCGTGTTTCCAGCTCCAAAACCCATGTCAGGATAAGGAGCCTTGTGTCTCAAACCACTGAATCCTCCAGGATGCTCCAAGTTCCATGATTCCACCTCCAAAACCCACTTCAGGATAGAGCCCAGCCATCCTTTGCCTCGTCCCTCAGTCCATGAGGCATCCATTTATCCCCCAGGCATCCATTTATCCCCCCCAGGATGCTCCCAACTCCATAATCCCCTTCAGGATAAAGAATTCACCCACACTCTGCCTCGTGTCTCCAACACTGACCCATGGATCCCCCAGGATGCTCCCAGCTCCATGTTTCCACCTCCAAAACCCTCTTCAGGACAATGAACCTCATGCCTCAAACCCTGATCCATTTATTCCCTGGGATGCTCCCAGCCCCTGGTTTCCAGCTCCATAACCCTCTTCAGGTCAGAGCCCATCCATCCTTTGCCTTGTGCCTCAAACCCTGACCCATGGATTCCCCAGGATGCTCCCAGTCCCACGTTTCCAGCTCCAAAACCCACTTCAGGACAGAGCTCACCCACGCTCTGCCTCGTGCCTCAAACCCCGATCCATTTATCCCCTGGGATGCTCCTGACTCCAAAACCCACTTCAGGACGAAGAACTCATCCATCCTCAGCCTGGATCCACGTGTCCCTCAGCTCCACGATTCCAGCCCAGGACAAAGAGCCTCACGCCTCAAACCCCGATCCGTGGATCCCCCGGGATGCTCCCAGCTCCAAAACCCACCTCAGGATAAAGAGCTCATCCATCCTCAGCCTGGATCCACGTATCCAGGACAAAGAGCCTCACTCCTCAAATCCCCCCC